CCGTTCAATGGCCTGTAATGAGCCGGGCAGGTTCAGCTCCAGCAAGGTGCCGTGTAATTGTTCAGTCAGTACCTCGAGGTCGTGGATGATATTCTGGTTGACGAGTCGGTCGCGGCGTTCTTCGTATACAGACACAGCCAGGTGTACGGCGAACGGAACGAGCTTGGAAAACAGCGCCGGGCCAAACTCGGCCTGGTCACCGAGAAATTCGAATGGCTTCTCGACTTGCGGCGGGATGCGCACTGTGGCCATGTTTGCGCGGTCCAGGATCTTGAGCTCCGATTTTGGTGGCACCACCTGCAGATAGATGACGTCGTTGTCGCGCTCTGCGCGCTTCAGATCCTCTTCAACGCGCCGCTTGAGCCCGGTTAGATCCTCAACGACCGTTTTACTCAAGTAGCCGCCACGGTTTTCCTTGAGGCCCTCGGCCACGCACAGCAAAGAGTCCTGCAGCCGCGCCACCTCTTCGCCATACTTGCGCTTATCTAGGCAATCGAGCGACGCCCGGTACTGTGCGGCCGCCGCAAAGTGGTGGTGCTTCGCGCTGATATGGTGGATCCACGCCCGGCTGACGGCATCGCTCTTCATAGCCGCCTCGCCCGCCGCGTCGTACAGATCAGCGAGCCGTGCCGCCAACTTGGCAATAGTCGCGTCCTTGTAGCGCTCAGACACAGCACGCAGCCAAAAGGACTCCTGTGCTTGGGCCAACATCAGCTGCTCGAGACAGTCGAGTGTGGCGGCGTCCATGTCCTCGGGCACCACGTTGCTGAGGTCCGGGTCGGTAATAACCGTGTCGCGCAGGAACCCGAGCACGCCAGCCGCCTGCATAAAGTAGCTGGCGGCCGTCTTGAGGCTGTCGGCATCGCCGTGGCCCGTGCCTGCGGCCAGCTGGCTGTAGAGTGCCGCCAGGTTGTAGAGCACGTTGGCGCGCTCGAATTTGAGGTTGTTCTGCACGACTGGCCGGTCGACGTTGTAGCCCAGCGCCGGGTACCATGTGAACTCGGCGCCCATCTCCACGGGAAACTTGCCGCCGATCCACGCCAATTGTCCCGCGTAGGCCTGCAGCTTCTTGATGCCGCTTGGGTGGGCCTCGCGCACATTGACGGCGTCGCGACGAAGGGTGTCAATCACGTCCATATCCTCGCGGAACGTGTCTGGGTGCTGTCCGTACTTATCGGCGACATACTGGCCGATGGCGGTCGCGAGAGAGAGGTGTGTTGATTTTCGAAAAGGGAGCGAGAGCTGATTCGTTTGGGATCTAAATGGGGTAGAAGCGACACTGTCAGCAGACGAAATAAAAGAACAGCGTCTTCAACTCATTGGGCGTTACGTACGATGCCATGGCGGCGAGGAAATGACGCGTTGGTGTCGTCAGACGAAATGGTATGGAACGGCCCAACGCGCAGTCGACAGAATGTTGACAAGAGGGCCTTGAAGAAATGGGCCTAATGACCTCATCGTCAACACGCTGCCATACGTTTGGAGGGGCGGCTGTCAGGAGTGGGGCCGGTCGTTTGCTGACTAATATACATGCTCGTTTTGTGAAGTGGTACACGTGACCGCTCTTCAAGAGACGACACACGATCATATCACGCAGGTTAATTTACACCAGGCGGAACTTTATTGCATTCACGTTTGTATTCGAAGCAGACGCTACCACCATGCGCATCATACATCATTCAGGAGACAAATGCGATGGATCGTGGCGTTGCTCAAACCCCACAGAGCCCTTGTACGAGGCCTTCTGACAGTCCCCAAGGCATTGCTAGTTTTCCATACTGCACCCAAACGCTCTAGGCGGCCTTACACGTCGACTCACAACCCGTGCATGCCGAGCCGGCGACACGTGTAGTGCCGTCAGGGACGACGGTCGGACCGGGCGCGACATAAGGCGAGGCCAGCTTCTGATGGATGTTGATGAGAATGCCTGGATCCGTGGCCTTGTAGGCGCCGGGGAACTTGACGGTTTCATAGTCAGCCGCAAGGGCGCGCACTGCCATCCGGCTGGCGGCCGAAGATGCCGCACCAGAGCCCGCTGAGCCAACCTGCAGCTGATAGCACGTCATGTAGAACTGGGCGCCGCTCGGCGAGCTGGCCGTGTGCAGCGCGAGTGCTTCGGCACGCAGCAGGTAGTCTCCGGGGGCTAGACTGGCCGGAATGGGCACGTCCATCTTGCCACAGCACGTATTGAGGTCCTTGGTGCCCCAGTTGTCGTTATCGCCGCTTCCACCACTAGCAGCTGCCGACCAGCTGTCCTCAAAGACCTTGAACCAGTCGGAAGAGCCGTCGGCCGTGCTGGCGTCTGAAACTTTGGACATGTACACGGAGACCGGACCGTAGTGGGCGCCACCAATAGCCTCGCTGCTGCAGGAGCGGTCGTTGGGCTGCTGGTGCATCTCGACCGTGACCGTCGTGCCCGGCGTGACGGCGCACTTGTTGGCAACGGGCTTTGTGCCTGCGTTACAACGGATATCGTTGGACGCGACATCGGTGACGGGTGTGTTTGACAAGGGCAAGCGAGCACACTTCGAGCCGTATGTTGTGTGAGTAGGGGAAGCATCAAGCGGCAGTGGGAATGGAGAGAAGACTTATCATATCGGTTCCGCCAACCCAGAGGTCCTGGAAGGTGGCATGGCCGGCGACCAGGTGTGCGACAAGGCCGAAGACGGCCGTGCGAAGTGCAGACTTCATATCGAGAGTGTGAAGGGACACGAATGAAGCAGACGGGATGGGAACAGAGAAATTTAAGATAGAAAATAGAAGGTATCAACCGATGGCTCAAAGCGACGACGACAAGGACAGGCAGAGACAGAATAGGCAGAGACTTTCGACCGACAAGAAGGACGTCATGAGTGCGAGACAGTCCGTTTATGTGCAGCCGGTGCTCACAGCCAGTGTCTCCTATCCTCCACGCCTTGGCCCACTGCTGTCAAGGGACTATTATTGACAAGGCCGCTCCGCTCATTACGAGAAAACGCCCTCACGCAATATACAAGACATCCCTTGTCGACAAGCCAGCAAGACGATGTACTATATTTCTAGTCTCTCCATGCGCACATTTTCTTCGTTTTCTGGACCAGACTCGGTTATTCGGCGCGGCTCTTGTGGGGTGACCTGGGATAGGAGAGGACGTTGGAGGATGGGATTGGGTATGGTGGGATATGTGCCTCCGAGCGATGCTAGTTTGCTGCGACGGTGGTATTGGGAAAGATGCAGGTATAGGACGTGTGCGAGAAAGAACCCTGCGATTCAGATAGACTACGACTATAATTTCAGTACGCGAAGCATAGACTTGACCATGGGGCATGGATGACGAGATACTCTCTTGTCGGTTTCCCGGTTCGCTGACGTTTGTGAATAAAGCCAAGACCAGCCACATGCTTGACCTCATGCATGCGCACCCTGTCGCTTCTTGTCGTGGCGAACCTGACCCCAGCTTTGTCGGCCAAAATGTGGAGTTGAGTGCAATCTACAATGAACGCCGTAGTCATGGGCATGAGCAGTGTTTGCAAGGGTTGTCAACTTCCTTGGACAAGCATACACGGCGAGGGCAGCGCTGGGCCACAAAAATAGATTACCCGCTCTATATAGTGCCCCCATGCAGACGACGTCGTTCGGAAAGCGCTCATTTGTTCCGCGGGCGGGCTGCTAAATGCGGCAAAACGGAACACGCTAGCCCGCGATTGAATGTACGGGGGAACGCTGTAATTGGCAAAACCATGGTTGTCTCTCATTTTCATTTATTTTTCTTTACGTTAGACACTGCGCTAGTCAGGCAGGCTGCCTACCTTGTGAAGTCTTGTATAGGCGTGAGTTATCAGACATGAACGCAAGCAACCATTGTCTTACCTGACTTTACATTATTATGGAGCACAATACTCAAAAGTTTTTTGGGTATTGTCGCATCCGCTCTTCACATGTGGACACACGTTATGTATTTTGCTGACTGCGGCGAACAGCATCAGTTCGTAGACCATGACGGCATATCTGGGTAGCTCCGTGCCGGTCCGGACTGCTCCTGATACAACATGTTGGGCTGCATCGATGTGCCTTTCGGGACTGTTTATATGGTGTGGCCATTTCACAAGTTCAAAGATGTCCAACCATGGTCCTATATCCTGCTTCGTTGCAGGAATATAGAAGCACACGCCCATCGCGGCGCGTGCCCTGGTAGGTATCTCACGGACACTCGTATTCGCCTGCCAACGATGCACCATGAGAGAGGAAACGGAGGGGATAATAGCACAAGTAGAAGAAGAATGACAGAGGCAAAATGGCAAATAAATTTTATGATTATGTAATTTCGCAAAAGTGACTTACGGACGTTCACGGACACCGTGATCGGACTTCAGTACTTCGGTAGGAGTCGGCTTATCCAACTGCAACCACGATTCCGCTGTGCTGCGCGTCTCTTTCTGTATCGTGAGAAACCTTACTGGGCTGGTCACCGACTTAAGGTGATTTGAATCTATTTTATCGATTACTCCTTGCCAAGACCATAGATTAGCGAATCTTCTTCCCGAGGTCTTGGGAATGGGGAGAACAAGGAAAACGGACCCATCAATCTTGAAAAGACAGGCTATTCTCTCGAGTCAACAAGGTCGACTGTACCGTCCCGAGAATTCGTCGTCCCATTGCCAGGGTAAAAGACAGGATGAAAACAAAAGCATAGCCATTGGGGACTAAAGACCCCTCCAGAGGCCTTGGCACAGCCTGTCTCCCGTACCTCTTCGTACATCCAGACGGCGGCTCAATCAACGGAGATTGCGCCCAATTACACGAGCTGGTCCCGACGGACAATGGAGTACGTACTCAGTGGTCTGAAATAAGTAAAAAAGGAATAGACTGCAAGGTCTTCTACGGTTCACTTTTTCTTTTATATCACTTGCTTCCTGGTTTTGAACCTTGAGATTTGAATCAAACCGGACTCTAATTTTTGCCCACCTCGTACATGTCAATATCGACAAAAGAGAGTTCGAGATAGTACGGCCGCCGTCGAAATGTACTCCTTCGCTCACCTCGCCGGGCTGACTGCTGGGCTGACAGCTGTGCTGGGCACGGCCCACGCCTATCCCCAAGCCAACGCCGTCGATCCATCGCCTGTCACCATCAACCCGACCGTGCTCGACCTAACTGAAACCGGCTCTGGCTGCCCCATTGGCAACGGCGGCATGGTGCACCAGATGAAGGACGGCACGCCCGTCTTTGCATTTGTGGGCTGGAACCTGACCCTCAACGGCTCGGCCATTCCCATTGACGCCCCGGAAGGCAGTCCAGGCAACAACACCGGCGGTCACGATGCGCAGGACAACCGCGTCGTGCGCGGCTCCGTGGCCAAGTTCTGCAAAGAGTCGATTTCCCTCGGCAACGCCCCTGTCGGCTACCAGGTACACATTCGCGAGGTCTCCATTTCGGGCGTCGCCGAGCTGGACCCGACGTCGTTTATCGGCATCCGCGTTAACACGCGATTCGACCACATCGAAGCGGGAGTATGAACTTACGCCCTCATCCCCACATGCAGCTGGACAATGCGTTTCCCGTGTACTGACTACGTGCAAGCGCGCTCGAGCGACTGTCAACGCTTCGGCGCTCAACAAAGGCTCATTCTCCGTCACACTGAACCCGAGCCCCGTCACCTGGTCGCCGTGCGTCAACGACACTGGCCTCCTGCCGGTCATTTCCGTGCGCACCTCGGTGTCGCTCAATGGAACGGCCGTCGAGGCCACCGGCACGTACTCGAGCGGCAAGCTGGGCGGTGCAGCAGGTATCAACATGACTGCTGGTGGCATGGACAACGCCCTGAACCTGCATTTTGTGCCGGAGTGGCGGCCGTGCCCAGCGGAGTCGCTTGCGCCGTCAGCACCCACAGAGACGGGCACAGTAGCCCCTGCACCCCCTGTCGAGTCCACCCCAGCCGCGCCAGCACCGACAACATCGACAGTCCCTGTACCCGATCCGCCCATCAAGGACCCGCCCGCACCGAGTCCGCCTATGAATATGGGCGGTATGTAGGACAATTGCGAGATAAGGCCAAGAAAACTACAAGACAACGGGATTGGCCGGGAGATTGAACAAAGCTTTTGGAATCGTGGCAAATACCGTTGTAATATCATCGTCATTGCGAGAGATAGAAACTGTGACGTGAAGACCACCACGTGTACGACGTACATGTGACAACGCCAATTGGTCACAATATTTTACGAGACATTATTGCTTGCCAACAGACTGAGATCTCGGAGCGATCGCCGGAGAGAGCACTAGGCCCTGAAGTTTTGTGAGCGAAAGATCAAGGGTTTGACTAATTTTTTGGGGGGGGGGGCTTGGCTTGGCTTGGCCGCGACAGGCTTTTTCCTGTCAGCGAAAGCCCCTCCAGACAGAAGTAGACTCGTTGCCCTTTCTGTTTTGTGTGTTTGGACGAGAATAAGTACACCGATGACATCGACTATTAGTGGAGAGAACGTGATCTTATTGTACGGGGCCTAATGCATCTATGTGGGCGGTCATTCCAGTTAGCATCATGTGAAAAGGCCAAGCTACAAGCCAAATACGTTCATCTCAATAAAGAGGTAAGGAAATGACATATGCCAAACAACTGTCAAGTACAGACAATGAAAACGATGAGTTTGCTTAGACGTGCACTTGCGGGAATGGCAAAGCACAAAAGGTATCTCTTTTTCAAAAATTTAAGACTATAGTAGTGTTGGGTTGGGTTATATGATGGGGATCTGACGGGTTCAGTCAATAGATGCTAAATCGCTCGCTAGCCAAGTGAAAACACACAAAAGACGACGGCGCATAGAACACTGAAATCGACACTCCGGCATAACAGAATGGGGGATGTCGCGTTACGAGGCTGCCACAAAAACAAGAAAGTATGGAGAGATCGAATCGCTTTGCATTACTGCTTGGGTGTCATCATGATCTCCTCGTTCTCGGCAATGGGGGCCGGTAGGTTGTGCGTCTGGTTGTACTCGTTGATGCCAACCACCTTGTCGGTGCCTTCCAGGTTGAGCTCGTAGTCGCGGTTCTGCGACAGCGTGTACTCCTCCTTGTCGATGTGGCGGAACATGAAGTAGAAGACAACGGTCAGGATACCGCCAGCAATGGCCGTGCCACCAAAGTCCCAGGTCAGGTGAGGGTCGACAATGATCGACGACGTTGCCAGGCCAATGATGTAGGCAATGGCAGTGTTGAACAGGTTCAGGGCGGATACGAGACCACGCATGTTGACAGGGGCACGCGAGTATGCGATGCCGTAGGCCGGAACGTTGACAAACAGCTCCGAGATACCACCCAGTGCGTAGGGAATGGCCATGTACCAAACGGAAATGGGCGCGACACCAGTGCCGACCGTGCAGTTCGACGAACCAAAGTTGCCACACGGCGACAGCTTGTAGGCGTAGTAGTTGAGCACCGTGTAGCCGATGCCGCCCACTGTCGACATGGCCAAACCTGTGGTGATGCGGGAAATGGGACCGTAGTGGATGTTGCCGCGGCGCAGCAGAGGGTACAGGCCGTAGTTGAGCAGCGGCGCGACCGCAATGATGGACAGGGAGTTGAAGTTAACGATGACATCGTTGGGCACGCCGTTGGTCGTCAGCATCGTCGACAGGAAAGACGCGGCCGAGCCGATACCGTTGTCGTTGAGGTACTGGATGGGGAAGAAGCAGAAGATACCAGTCGCCTGGAAGGTGCGGCGCACGTCGTCGACGAACTCGTCGTTCCAGCGAACAGGGTAGTGCAGGCCCGCAGCGGCAATGGCGGACGGCTTCGCCAGGTCCCAGAAGCCGCTACGGCCAATGTGTTTGATGCCACCGCGACGAATGCAGATGCCAATGACGCGGAAAACGTTGACCATGTCACTGCCGCCAGGGGGGTGCAGAATCAGGCGCTTGTGCAGGTACCACAGAAGACCAGGCAGGGGGATATACAGCAACAGGGGGATCAGGAACGCCAGATACCATCCGACGTACTTCTCCGCGTAGCCCGTGGCAACACCCATGAAGCCACCAATGTTGATGACCAGGTAGAACCAGAGCATAGCACGCTCGGTGGTTGCCTCGGGATCCTCAATGACACGCTCACCAGACTTGGTGACCACGACCTTGGGAACGGTGTTGACCATCTGATCGAGAAGCAGGGGCGAGACATTGGGCTTGAACATGGCAGCACCAACAGACAGAATGTAGACGGACAGGAAGAAGGGAATCTTGGCGTGGCCGCTCTCAAGGAGCGAGCGAGCGCCCGACGCGACGAGCAGAACGTGGGCAACACCGAAAACACCGACACCCCAGCAAATGAGCTTGAAGCGACCAGTGCGGGCATCGGCCAGGTAGCCGAAGATCAGGGGCAGGGCGTACGCAAGCATCGAGAACGACTGCGAGACGGCGTTGGATACGACCGTGCCCATGCCGAGAGCACCGCCAGTCTCCTGGGTGCCACGGGGCGGGGCACCAAGGCCGTTGCCGTTGGGCGGCAGAGGCCGGTTGACATAGTTGCTGATAAGCGGCTGCACGCCGTAGTACGAAGCACGCTCGCAGAACTCGACAATGCAGATCAGGTAGGCAACGAAGGGGAGCTTGCCAGGCACGCGGCGCAGCGTCCTCATCTCCTCCTCGGTGGGCTTGCCCTCGTAATCCTCCTCCATGATGGCGGGATTGAGGTAGGCGCCGTGCTGGTCACCCGGCGGCGTGCGGGACATGGTCAGGTCGTTGTTGCCATCGATGGGTGGTTTCTCGTCGGCTGAACACAATTTGTTAGTGAAGCTGTCGCCAAGGTTTGTCATGCGTGAGAATGCCGCATGCATGACAGTGTGTTGGCGTGAGACCTATACATACTGGACGCCATCTTGTGTGTTGTTCCACGAGGATCTGTTCCTGTGCACACACTGTTGGGTGGTCGGGATGGAGTTGAGAAGAATAATGAAAGGAAAAACAAACGGACGGGGAAAGGGGACGGGATGGTCTTTTATGTCGATCCAATGCCATGGAATGATGGGTCTAGCACGAGGAAGAGGACCAGGCCAAGGGATTTTGAGAGGGGGGAGGCAACAAAAGGACAAGCCAAGCACGAGCTACCCCAGCAATGGCCGGTGGGTTAGACAACGAAAGAGATAAACGGCGTGCTTCATTATCAACCCAGGATTTCAGGATGCGGATGGGGGGGTGGCTGGATGGCGAAAGGGGGGTGGTTTGTAGCCGGTCGCGTGTCGTTAGGAAAAGGAGCGAGAGTAGTGCGGAGTTGGTGGCGGATGGGAGGGGGGGCGGGCAGCATACAAGAAGACGGCCCCCGAGCGTACGAGAGATGGAACTGCTGGACTGGGAGGGAAGGCGCAAACGCGCGCTCAGCGAGGCGAGCACCTCCCTGCGATTGACAATGGATGGAATTAAGATGCAGGTGGCCATGAAACAGCAGGTACGACTTGTAGGTGGTATGTGATGTGGTACATAATGCAGGAGCGGCGAGGGCTGGTAATACAGAGAAGGCACGACTGCGTGCGTGGACGTCGAAGCCCATTCAGCCGATATCTGGCCAATTTGGGCGGTAAAACAGCGCAGTGTAAAACAGCATAAAAAATAAGGAAAGAGTGTCTTGCCATTACAAGAAGGTCAGAGATAGCGTTGATGACAGACGAAAACAGAAAGAGCATAGGCGACATGCCAAGATGTGGTGGGACACAAAAGAGAAGGTGCCAAAGGCGCTTGCTTTGCTCTTGCCAATTTGGACCATATGGCCCGGTGTCAGAGCTCTCTGGAAAGACAGGAATCACATTACGATCCACCGCGATGATGCACCGTTCCCGATTTCCCGTAGCTTGCCACTTACAGCACCCAACGATACAGCTTGGGTGAAGTGCAAAAGCGCGACTTGTGCGACAGGGACGATGTCGTTGAAATTGGGCAGGCTGCGTCGTGTACTTGCCTTATTTCCAGATCAGGAAACAAGCACCCACCACCGCTCACCTACCTACCCTCCGTCCGTGTTGGGGCCTGGGTTGTCGTTGTCCGAAGGTACCAAGGTACTTCCAGCCTAGGCTAGACGCTACCAAATGGCGCGGGGATCCACCCTTTTGGGACTACGCCGGCGCCGCCAGCATCTCAAACTGGGCCACCCAAAGAGTCAAGACGGAATTGAAAGTTGGGCTAGGGGCGAAAGATAACCCAGTGTAAATGTGGGCAGGAGATAAACTTGCGTGATGGGAACAACTAATGAACCTGGTGAAACAGGCATGGCAGGACGAAAGGTGCAATTTGGCAGACGAAGGAAGGAGCGAAGGAGATGAGTGGTCGGTCGGCAGCTTGGCTGATTTTCTTGCACGCGCTGTGATTCGCTCACTCATAAATCGAGGGTTTACGTGGTGGGATGAGCAAACACAAAACAGGCAGGGGCACGGCGGCCGCCTGGAGCCTTCTAAAATAGGGCCGACGCACGCCATCCAAATTTTGGCTTTGTTCATAGCAAAATCACAGACGAGGCAAATCCTTCGAAATCCCAGACTGCTCAACCGAGGACAACACCGACTGCTCGTTTTAGGGCGGCAAATGTCGCTGACACGCTCGACAGCTAACCTCGGCCGCCCCCGATTGCCTCGCTCCAACATCCGCTTCTAGAACGCTTCCAGCCTCTGGCCCGCGTCTCACAGCAATGTTGCCACAAGCTCGCCGACCGCCTTGTCTCTCTTGTGCTTTTTTTTTTTTTTAGTACCTGGATCGTTTGAATCGTATCGCTATCCTATCGCACCAGCAGTGCCAAGACAGCCCCCTCACGACTCGCATGTCATCTGCCTCCAATGGCCTCTTGAGCTTTGTTATCGCTTGTCTGTCTGCAGTTCGGTTGTCGCAGGTTTCTACCCCATACCCCGAGACCCCGTCCTAGATTACTAGCTTTTTGATATAATGGCCGGCTACCCATGCTCCGTGTCGCTCATTGCCAAAACAAGGAGGTGGTAACAGATGCAAGTCTGGCATTATACCTCCCACATCGCACGCTAGTGCTATTGCGATCTTAGTGTATGTTTGCTAATGCGACACAGGGAATGGAATACCGGTACTCGATGGTCGTTCCGCGTCTCCAAGACAAGGCTGCTTTTCAAGGAACTCGCCGCGCCGTATTACAGGTGCTGCCGTCTTCCCTGCCCCTGGTCCTCCCGTCGTCTCCTTTGTGCACGACCGCTTCTCCTAGGCCTAAAACGGACTGACCTCCGATTACTCAAGACTGCGAAGTACTCAGCTCTTTGAGGCGACGGGCCTTTTGCCATTTGCTCGATGCGTTTTGTTCATTGTCTCGCCAGAACGGGATCGGGAGACACTTTTTCGGTTTTGTACTTTTTTTTTTTCGTTTCCGCTTTGTCTGAAGTCTCCTAAGTTGACATTCAGGAAACCTGTCATGGCGTGGTCCCTCCCCCCCCAAAACAAGCCATCATTCAGTGCCCCAGAGCGCAGAGAGGCAAAAATATATGAGAAGCACGTCATGTGGATGGCATTACGATGCACCTTCTTTTTCCTCTTTGCCGGCGAGACCGCCTTCATCTCGTATTTTGCACCATTTTTTTCAGTATACAAAGTCGACATTAGTCGTCAGGTGCTAAATTGCATTTGCCCTCGTCCTTTCATTTCAGTTTGGCTGTTCCCTTCCCACTTCACTTTCTCTTGTCTCTGCATCTCAACTTTGGCCATCGCTGACAACTCTGGAAGAACACCCACCCAATCAACAGAACGCGGGGATCGACACATACCTTGTGATCCCCAGCGCTTGGCTGCAGCTTGTGTGTTGTTTTGTTTATGTTGCCCTCTCTAACACGAGATTGGTGGACAGCAGCAATCGCCAGTGGTCGGCACACCACCCCCTATCCCCTACCCTTCGAGATTCGGTCCTTTCAACTGGCTTTCTGTGGCCAGAGGATAGGCAGGAACATCGTTCCACTGTGGGTGCAAAACAAGGTAGCACTAGACCCGGAAATGGTAGGTCGCTGCACGGCGGATAGCTTGGCGTCTACGCCACCTGTTTGCCTCCCGTCAAACGCTACGCTTTTTTTCCATCGCGTCTTTCCACCTGCCTTTTTCCATCACCGTATTAGAGGTTTTTTTTTTCTCTCTCAAGCTAGACCGTCTTCATTTTTTCTCACCTTAATGTTTTCTTCGGCCTCAGCGGTTCCAGTGGCGATTAGTGAATAAAAGGCTGATGGAAGGTGAAACGGAAGGAATAGACGCCACAACTACACCTCACAATGGACGCAAACACGGGCAAAACTCGGGGTACGCGTTCAAGTTACGATACGGACTATGACACAGCAAACGCGGCTGTCGAACGGCAGATGTTTAAGGTTAAGCAGACTAATACGCGATCGGAAAAGGACTATAAAAAGGTCGATGCGCCGCGATGTCAGCGAATTTCTCGACGTGGCATACTTTCTTCAATTCACTCAGCTCGGGAATCCAAGAGAAAGGACTACGCTCCAATACAGCCTCCCAACCGTCGCATCCTTGGCTGCATCGTCAATTCGGATAGCCGGCATTTGGCAAAGAAAAAAAATCTTGGCAAGTGAAGTCGACAAGGACAGGTGCGGATTCTCTGAACGCAAATGTCTTGGCGAAAAGCAACGTCGAAGACGACAAACAGTACGAGAGATTCCAGGATGGGAATGCGACTGCCTCCTTCCTAGCTGGGATAACCGCTATGGGAGGTTTGGAGAAGAAATCCGGCGGAAGAGATGGAACAAAATAGCAAAGGAGCAATTGGCTCACCTTGGCATTACACATGTCTCCATTGTGTGGTCCAGGTCCGCAATCCGTAATGATACTAACCTGTGAGCAAAGGAGAAGGACGAGAAACGGAGGGGTCTTCCTTTGGAGTCCACACTAGACGATGAATCTTCTCGGTAGTGCAAAAGTCGTACCGGAGGCTCCGTTTTGTAACCTTTGTTCATGATATAAAAATGCAACATTTAACGCGCAGATGTCGACTGTGTATGTAGATGTAGGCAAGGTCAAAAACGGAAAGGTAAGATGAGTAAGGGAAACAGAAATACATTGTCAGAACACATCGTCAGAACACATCGCCCACGCTGTCGGAATCCTTGTCGTGGCGGTTTTGGCTAATGACAGGTGTAATATATGCTAGTCGCTGAAGGAATCGATCCTGCTCTCCGTGTGCCTGCCAATCCTGCCAGCGCCACGTCGTGCATTTCTGTAACTCGCCGGTCGTGCCTTTCAACAAAGATCGCACTACGACGACAAGCTGCGTGAGCCTCTACCATTGCATCGAAGGAGCCCGAATGGGCTGATGCACACTTTAACCACACGGTCGGAATTCGGATTCTCCTCGCTAAATTCATGGAGGAAAACACCGCTCCCGGGAATGTATTATGCAAACGCACTCCCGTATGCGTGAAATAATGCTGTGGCAAACCAAAAACAAAAAGTACCCATAAATTACACAAAACGAACTCTGGCATCGTTTGATCGGTATGCCATTTCGCAAGACGGTACGACGGTATTTTGGTGGTAGTTTGATAGTGCAGATGGCCAGACTGTGATATGGGGCCCATTGTCAGCACGTTTCTTCGCATCCACCGGTTTCATGCTCTCATCCACGGTCTGTCCATGAGAAAAGCTTTTGATCCAGAGAGAGGGAGTGTGGGTGTGGGAATGAAGGAATCAAGAGAGTCGGTGTCATGTGACGTCGTCGTGCTCACGGATTATTTAGACAGCGTTTCCGTCGGAAGAAATCCGCGCTTTGGAATCAATCAGTCCTCCACTGGTGTCAGAAAGCACGACACACCATTTCATCTAGCTGATAGAGATTCTCAAATACGACGTAGACATGAAAGCATTGTGTCTTTGCTTGGAGACGCCGATTACAACTTTTGTGGTAAAAATTACACTTTTTTATATTATTTTATTTTTAGTTTCCATTTAGTCTTCGAGGTGGAGCAGGACATCTCCGTGCCAAGAATAACAGGTGGCCGAGCTTCCTTTTACAGCACTAGGCACTTACAAGAAAGTGGACAAGGTCGTTCTAACGCTCCCGTGTCGAAGGAAAGAAACATTGCTCCGAAAGCAGAACTAACAAAAAGCTCGATTCCCGAAGATTTTCCCACTGTATACGACGTACTGTCAGGCTGTTATCGGCCGCCAACCTCTGACATCGGACCATTTTCTGATCAAGCTCAGAGCCTCCGTCCCTAGCTCCAGCGGTCTGTCTACAGGACGACGTGTGTCAAGACGGTGCTCGATATCGGTTTGGGCCCCATCTTTCGTTCCTAGTGCCTTGAGCGACTTTTGCAAAGTACCTTGTCACGCTTTTCATTCTCCGGCGGCTCTGAACACTTTCCCGCCATGGAGGATAGCTGCCATCCTGCTTACTTGATTCGTTTTGTGCATACGAAACGGAATACGCTGCTACTCCAGGCCGTTTAGGGCAGATTATATTCCAATCTCTTTGGAGGCCGACATTTTCAACTGCATTTATGTCTCCATTTTCTTAATTCCTTGGCTGACTTACACCCCGTCCATCGTCCAAGCTCAAAAAGGCAGGTCTATTGCGACACACAGCGCAACGCAAATATTTATGAATAATGGATTGATTTCAAGAGATAGTTTGGCAGAGACAAGGAAAGGAAGGACGACACACATTGTACGCTGTTCAATGGATTGAGAAGGACGCGTACGACTGTCGACGTATGTGTACACGAAAGCCCAGTCGAACATGCCTTGCACTGGGGCAACAAACATGTGAATGCCTTGAATGTAGCCCTGGACATGTCTTCTATGAAACTTGTTGGTATAGCACCACCTTGAAACACACTTTAGCTTGGCGCAAGAACAGGCTTGAACATGATTCTATCCAGTGTGGCCAGGAACCCTCGATCGGTATGGATGTGGCTTCCTGGCACCCCAAAATAATCAGCTGTTGCGATGCCGTCCTGACACAAGAATTGTATGTCTTCCAATGTGCCTTTATTTACCTGAGATCTTTTTAGCGAAAGTAGTCTCCTTTCATATATAAAAATGTGGCAAACAAACCACACACCACGAACGCCACACCGACTACGCCTGGTGAGTATTACGTGTCTGTGCCCATGTGCCTCTTTAAACGCCTGTACACCTCCTTCCCTATTCTTCTCCTCCGTTTGCGGGCCCCTCTTTTTTTTAACGACGGCCGTCTGTTCTTATGCCGATCTTGACCGCGTGGCGTCAATCATCTGGTGCTTTCCCCGGACGACGGCCCCGGAATGTCCACCGCGGAGGTGTGGACGACAAGGCAAAACACGAGACATTTTGCCTCGTTTGTCACAAAAACGAGCAAAAATAGGAGCAGTTTTGACACGACCGACCCACGTGCCAAACGCGCTTCGGCCTTGTGGTTCTTACGTTGTTTGACCACTTTGCCCCCTTCCGCTTCTGCGGGGGAGGAGTCTTTGGTAGAAGAAGTCTGGGGAAGTGTTGTTGATCTGTACGTAATAGACGGGCCACGATGCAGGCTTACTGTGATACCTTGTCGGGGAAGGGGCAATGCGAGTCTGGGGAAGCTTCATGATAATGAGGGGGAGGCAAACGGCCAAGATCTCAGGACATGAGCTTCCCCTTGGAGTGTGGTGATGTGTCGGTAGCAACACCGCACACTGTGTTGCTACCAATAGTCCACGATGTCAGAGGTCTCCATCAGGTCCGCTGCCAGGTCTGTTCTGTTCCCGCTCGGTTTCGATCGGTCTATGCAGGAAGACGGAGAATGTCTATCAGGATTTCATTACCTTGTCCTCCTATTTGAATTCCATACTTCGTATACGATATGATGTGTCAGACGATGAGCTTTATCGATAGACATGGCGAGCTATACTCAATGATAACAGACGCCTTTCTTCACACTTGGAAGGTAATGAGATGATAACATTAGGAAAAGAATTAGAACAAAGGTGTGTGTGTAAGTAAGAGAAGCCGAAGAGTGAACACGTCTCAGTCCCTATGCCATATTCCGAGGATATCCTATCCCACACGATCTTCGTAGAAATGCATCGGTAAACACCAAGAGAATATGTTAATATCCAACACGACCAACCAGGGGACGCGGCAGGCAGATGGTTATCTTGGTAGATGCCTCCGAACGACCGGACTCGCCCCTCGTGTTCATCGTGTCTGTACCCAGCGAAAAGAGGGAAAACGTGCGCCACAAGACTGGAATTCATTGGCCGGCATCTATTGCCGCCGACGGATGCGCGTACGAAGCGGTCCTTTTCACGGCGTGCGATAACAGAGGGTTGCGATGAGGGCAACACGAAAAAAGCCAACGTCGGACAAGATGAAAGTCATCAGCGCCAGATGAGTTGTGCCGCCGGCTGTTGTTGCCAGCGGATGAGCTCTGGGAGGATTAGGTCAGCCGAAAGAGCCTTTCTTGACCTTTCACGGAATTTGATTTGCGGAGGAGGGTGTTCCAACAGAAAGCTCTGCCTTCACGTCGAACTACAAGTTGCTACCTCATTTTAGGGCTGGGTGCAGACCTCTTTTTCTCTCGCCTACTTCGTATGGGATTGGATTTTCGCTGTCCAGGCCCTTGTGGTTTGGTGGACACCTCGCTTGACATGCAGTAGCGTTGCAGCTCGAATGCTGACTGCTACGGTGAGATTGTCCTTGTCCTCGCCTGCGTATGTCCCGTAGCTCGAAGTAGTCATGAAAACGGGGCCAACGCGGATTACTGTGCAGTTTATTTTACGGGACGGGATCAGCCCAGAAAGGCCAAGGAGCAAGGTTGTGTCCGCGAGTGAGACGACGACTACAACATACAGAATACAGAATTGAAAAAATAAATAAATACGGCGCCCCACACTGAGCCGCTATCGTGTTTGTAGAAGGTGCTTACGGCCCAAATCAACACGAAATAGAGTAGAGCAATAGAGCGTCGCGCCGTCGGGAAACGAAGCACGGGCAACGCAAGTGATCGTCTGAAGGTCACCTTGCAATGCACGGTACGGGTTGACAGCTGTCTTGCGGTTGTTCGGGCCACAATTTGACAGTCAAAGCTATCATTCAGAGGAAAAGAAAGTTGTTGCCTGCCGATTTGTTTGTCTTTGGTATTTGAAAGGTGTCATTGTTTTTTGAGAATTGTGTTCCGGGATGTCGTTACAAGGGAGAAGCAAACTTGGTTCTGATATCTAATAGTCACGCATATTTGCCAATAAAACGACGAAAGAGGCAGGAGATGCTCCCAAACGGACCAAAGCTAAGATAACAGGGCTTAAGAAATTAAGATGACGGCGCCATGCACCTGAGCGTACAGAGCAAAGACATTCGCAACAAATGGCCAAAGAAACGAAATCAAGACACTCGAGAGCCAAGCAAAGAAAGAAAGCTTCCTCCATCGTGGCAGTGGATCGTGCTACGTCTCTGTTGGTCTATCCACAGCGGGCCCACGCACTTGCCCCTTGTTCATCTGCCTGGGGAGTGTGGGATGGCACCCAATGATTGCCGTCTAATAGCGCTGACAGCCTGCCACCGGGAGCATTTCCCTTGGAGGAAGGTGCATAGGTTCCCAAAACCCGGGGCGGAATTAAGGTTGGCATGTTAGACGGAGGGCATTTTGAATTATCAACTGAGTACGGAGTTGACATACTTGGAGTGACGCGCGTGCTTTCGTAATATCTGGAGATATGTAGAACAAGTCAAACAAAATCGATAGGGAGGCTTGTAAGGTACGGGGTGCAACAACGAGTGTGTCAAGTGAGCACGTCTGATCAAGATCTAGCTGTTTTGCTCTGTGAATGCTGCTCGCGGCTGGACCGCACAAAAGTTGAATAAAACGGGAAGACTTTGGCAACGGGCAACTTGGCAACATAACCTCTCCGCACCCAGTATCAAGATGGCTGCCACCCGTGGCCAGGCCAATGATAAAGACGCACAATCGTGGAAACATGACGCACTGTTACAAACCCGAGGCGAACGTTGCCGTCCAGCCTGGCCATGCAGCCGGCTACGCAACGTTCAGAAAGAAACAAGGCATGACTTCCAGTAAGTAATCCTCAAGAAAAGTGCAGTATACATGGGCAAAATACAGCAATGATTTGGGAAGGATAACATGAGCGACGTGAGAAGCTGTAAGCAAATGGAAGATATACGACGATGCTAATTCTCTGCTGAACAGGTGAATATCACACTTCCCCGTGGACCTGCTACCGGTATCGATGCCGTGGACAGTTTACACTCAAGAACGTAAAACATGTCGCCCTCGGCAAGGTCAGCCGTCTCGCCGGCCAATGAATTGAGCAAATCGACGGGCTTCATCACAATCTCCAATTCGCGGTAGACGCAGCTTAAAAAAGCCTTCTCACTCGTCAAGGAGCACAGATGCTGTCCAAAAGAACCCCAGCGCGGTGTAGTGCGCCGGTCGTATCAATTCTTAAGTTATGGATATCATCATCGCTGTCGGTATTCGTCAAACTGACCACAATGCCCACAGCCAAACCTCGTTCCGGTTGTCAGTGCAATCGGAGACAGCTGTGACGAAATAAGAAAGTCTCACGCTTTAACAATACACCGGCACGCAACGCTCGCCAATAATTTCACTGGCATCGAGACTGAAGTGATACATCTTTTGTCTCGTTCCACCAAAGCTGATGCTCAGACAGCCGCATACGGACGTCGAAGTCGGAATTCGAGAGATTGATTGAGCTCAGCCTGGTGTGGCCTTAACAGTCTAGATACAACTACCTACTGGGAACGCTGCCATCGGCAGACAAATGCAGTCTCAGTCGCCGATGGTCACATATAATGAAAGCATGAGTTGAAATTGTTCCAAAGGAAACCGGAAGATACACTTGGGGAAATGACCGGTACAAAACACAGCAGCAAAGGTCTCGACGGAACGCGGCAAGGAAGACGAATGTCAATCGGACCGCCCATAGTCAGTTAGGCACAGTAAGGTAGCCAAAAGAGAGCGTGGGAAAAAGAGCCAACGGCAGACGTATCGCTGACATAAATTCTCAAAGGTAGTGGCAGACGTGGTCATAACCGGCGTTTGTTTTATACGTCGAGGAGTCGAATCAACGACGGACAGGAGCCTCCATGCACCAGAAGAAGACAGAACGAAAAGCTCGCGATCTTGGTCAACCGCTTTCGACACGTCAACCATTATCCTCTCCCTACTCGCCCAATGCTGCGTTGCTAATGCAAGCAAGTGATCGTGGGCCGCGGCTGTTCAACTTCGCCCTCTGCAGCGCTGTCGTAGTCACCGATAATCCGACAAAATTGTCCCCGTGGTCTGGGCACATAATTGGCCATAGCTTCTTCGAAACTGTCCGGCGAGTTGTACGTAGAGACAATGCTCGCAGAAGGGATGCGGTATAAGATGAGAAACTCGTTTTTGGCAAACTGATACCCGTTTCCCGAACTCTGCTCGACGTCCAACTCAGCCTGAAGCCGAGTGCTCTCAAAGAGAGCAGGTCGGGCTGAGGGCGGTATCTTGGACAGATCAATCTCATATATGACGCCGGGCCAGTCGGCCTCTTTGGGTTCCTGGTACACATTTCGCTCTGCCCAGCTGGCGTTTTGTAAGTCTTTCCGGTTGGAGAGCATTCCAGCACGCACCCAGGTATCACGTCGCTTCTTGGCCCATCTCAGGGCATGCAGATGATCGCTTAAAACAGAGAGAAATGGTCCACCCGTCTCGGGGAATTGTCGACAATTCCAATTCCAGTGGCACACCACGGCCTGGGTGAATTCTCGCATGTCGGAAAACCCACCCTTGCCGGCGATGCCTCCGCCATCACCGGCCACAATGTCGCTTGTTGCTGATGGGCCTTGGTTTCCCATGGACTCTGGGCACTGCACGCGCCAGAGCCGAGGGGGGTTGCTTCGGTAAGCATGCTCGGAATAGTCGAATGGGAAAGTCTTGTCTGCAGTCTCCAACGTCGCCATCGCGTCAGCTAAAGCTGGGCTACGGTAAAGACAGTCTTATTTCGTCGGTTAATGGGTTAATGGGCGTTAAAGTCAAAGGGGAGAGTGAGTCCAAAATGTAGAACTAGGATGCTGGTATTGACGTTGTCGTTGCCCAGCTGACATGATATCCGGATGTAGCAGATGCATATTAAATACCGCAGGCTTTTCTAGCACTTACTGACAATACCCTACTTTCTGTCTTGCATGCTGTCAAGGAGATTCCAATTCTGCACTTTCAATTGGTGCGTCGTGGTTGCCTTAAGGCTGCATTTGTACTGACAGGATGCAAGGTGTGAAAATCTAAATACATCGTAGTCATGCTAGAGGGGGGTTAGATAAAAAACAGCACTGTTGCTTGTGTGCCTACGCCCTCGTCGACCACCATCGACGTTCCATACGCTCCTCCGCCGCCAGTGGACGTTGCGACGATCCGTTGATACGTTGATAACCAGCTTGTGGGACATAAATTCAAGGCACGATAACAAAATACGTGTGTGTTGGCTGTTTATTTTATTTCCAATGTGGATTTTTCAAAACTTCTGTTCAATAATGCGTGCACTATTGCTCTCGTCTACTGCCCTGGCCTTTTGGCATATGACAGCTCCTCGAGGCGTGTTGTGAAAACTCAATGACAGCACAGACTTTTTGATGTAAATGTTGATGGTTTTGTTTTATTTTTGCTAGTTTGGAAATGTCGGGTGCTCCCGCAAATGTTGGGTGCGCCTCCCTAGTTGGAAATTTGTCTCGCTTTGCGCCTTCTTGTTTGTCTTTCTCACAGCGGTGTTCAATCCGAGGCAAAAGCGAACGGTAAAAGCGATTGCCAGTCAATGGACCTTGCGGACTGCATGGCAGAGAAGTCGGAATTCTCTCAGTATGGTGCGTATGGTGTCGTCCTGTGTTCGATCCAAGGATTGTCCCTCAATTTCATGTCATTTTTTTCTGGTTTGATTTGTGTTATTCAGTAATTCGTGCTTTTCGTACTCCGTATTACTCTGCATCGGCAGTCATGCCATAGGGCGCGGGCCTTATCTGGCTTTTGACATCCAGGGCGCTACTTGCAGATAAGCAAGCACATATTGAAGGCTCCGACGCCGGATGTGAAGAACGGAGGGGGCTTTTTGGTGCATAACATGAGGACGAAAGGTTGACATAACGAAGAACGGACAGGGTCCAGAAACATATGACGCGGCTGGACGAACAATTAGAAATCCGACCCTGGACTTTCGCCATCGGCGTCTGCAATTCTTAGTCGCCGTTCCCCAGAAAGTTAGCGAGCGAACACGAGAGGCGAAAAGGAAACGAAAGAAGACGAGCAAACAGTCGACAAAGAAAAAGGAGGGAAAAGACGAGAAAAGACGAGAGACAAAAAAAAAGAAAAGAAAAGAAAGACAAAAAACATTCGACAGCATCGTGCAATCGACAGCATCCGTGTCTAAGACAGTCTCCATCTCACATCTGCCCTCTCGGCCGACGTCGCAACTACCCAGTGATTTCATGGCCGACTCCCTCATTGCCGACGAAACGCGGCCGCTGCTCGCAGACACGGTCTACAAAACACATTCTGCCACCACCACTGCCGTCGACGACCATACTGATCTCGAAGCAGATGGCCATGGATTGCGCCGCGATGACCTCGTCGCGTTCGCCGACGACCCGGACAACCCGCGCAATTGGCCAGCCGCCTTTCGCTGGACAATTGTGTTCCTGCTTGCGTTTATGGCCTTCACCGTGACGTTCACCTGCATTTCCGTCGTCCCCTTTGCCAGCCACATTGTCGACGAACTCGAAGGTCACGGTAAAGATGGATCCGCAAGCGACGGCGGCGGCAGCGGCGTCGGGTCCGCCAGCGTACTCCTCGTCACCATCTGGGAGCTCGGAGAGGCCGCTGGCCCGCTAGCCATTGCGCCGCTGTCCGAGACCGTTTCGTGGGGCCGCGCCAAGGTCCTGACTGCGACGTCGGCACTCTTTGCGCTGGCCACCGCCTTTGCGGCTGTGGCACCCAGCACCGCGCTGTTTATCGGGGCCCGCGGCCTTACAGGCCTCGCCGTTGCCACCAATGTGCTCAACCCCGCCATCGTGGGCGACATGTTCCCACCAGACGAACGCGGCTCCGCCATGTCGCTCGTCCAGCTGACCCCGCTCATCGGCGGCGCCATCGGCCCGGCCATTGGCGGTGCAGTGGCCGACACCTGGGGATGGCGGTCCGTGCTGTGGTTGAGCACGGGACTGGCCGTCGCCTGCAACCTTCTTGTGTGGGCCGCCTTCCGTGAAACGTACCCGCCCGCCGTCCTTCGCATCCGCCACGACCGTCTGCGGAAGGAGCGACAGACACCCGGGGCACTGAAAGGCAGTAAATTGGCAGGCGCGGCCAGCGTGCCTTCCTCGCCATCCTCCTCCTCATTGTCGTCCTCGCCCGCTCCTTCTCCTTCTCCAACAGTCTCGGTGCCGACCTCGACGTCGCCTTCCTCCTCCGGCCTGCGCCACATCCGTGACGCCGTCCTACGCCCCGCCATTTTGCTCGCCGACTCCTTTGTCCTTGCCTCCCTCGCTACCTACGGCGCCGTTCTCTTCTCCTACTTTTACGTCATGTCCGTCTCGCTGCCCGACATCCTCGAATCCCGTTACGGCTTTTCGTCCGCCGCCACTGGCTCGTCCTTCCTCGTCTTCAGTACCGGCGCGTTTTGTAGTGTCGTCATCTGCAACCGTTACCTCGACCCTATCTATCGCCGCCTCACCAGCACCCGCGGCCGCCTCTCCCCCGAGGATGGTGTCACCCGCATCGGCCGTCCTGAGTTCAAGCTGCCGCTGGCTACCTGCTGTGGCATCTTGCTGCCCCTCGCCCTCGCCGCCTACGGCTGGTCCGCTGAGCTCGTGCTGCCCCTGCCCTATCTTCTGTTCTCTGTCGGCTTTATGGGCGCATCCATGATGCTCACCTTTCTCCCGTTGGCCGCCTACGTCGTCGATGCCTTTGGTCTGTACGCCGCCTCCGCCATGACGGGTATCATTGTCTCTCGCTGTCTGTGCAGCACCTTTTTGCCTCTGGCTGTTGCACCGCTCATTGCTACTTTTGGCTACGGCTGGGGCTTCATGGTCCTGGCCGGCATCTGTCTCATCGTGACGCCCGTGCCTGTTTTCGTATATATTTACGGCGAGAAATGGCGCCAGCTTTCCAAGTACACACGGGATGCGTAGGACATGAGAGTCTAAGCGGTGGGGGACGATGAAAGAATAAATTTGGGTTCAATGTTTGATTTTTGTTGCTTCTAAAAAGACATTAGAAACGCTATGAAGAACGTGTCATCCTGTGATACGTACGATATAAAGAAACAATGACTGCATGTTTCGGTTTGCTTTAACAGTGGTGTCTTTGCTTTATTGTTTACATAGGTACTCACAGCATAGAAATCACTTGTGTTCACATAAATCGATTTTACTCATTAATTTGTCGATGTAGTATTGCTTCAGACAAAACATCAAACGCGCCAACCGCGCATATTATTCTGGCCCCTTTTAGTCATTTCGTAGCCTGTCCCAAGCGAAAGAAACCTTGGTCAAGTCCTAATGGCAGCACATACATCGTACCGCTTCCGCAAACATCAGATGATCGGCTGCCCGGCATCTCTATTTGATGTTCGCTGTCTGCCTTCCGATCGAGCAAGAGAATTGCATCACTTGTAGTCGGTTATCCACGGATATCGGAATCCCTTCAACAAAACAAAGAAAGGACAGCGCAGGGTCGTACAGTATTCCTGCCCAACGCCCACCAGCCTGAGCACGGAAGTCAACCGTTGAGATCCTTTCATAGCGGTTGGCTACTAGAAGTGTGGACTTGAAAATGTATAGACGCAAAGTAATCAGAAATGACACTCGTCTTCACTGCGCCTTAACAATGTATTCTTGATTCCGCTTCCGTCACATGCACATCCATCTTCCGACAGTAGACATTTATGACGTGAGTGGGGATTGGGTGGTGTGCAGCACGGGTGTGGGTGTGCATCGCGTTGTTTCGGTTTTTATTTTATTTTACTCTATTTTCTTTTTCTTTTTTATAGTTTTTGTTTCATGACATTATCCCCGTCAGTCCCATCCCACATCTTGCCGTTTTTCTACTTTGTTTTGCATTGCTCACACTTCCGTTACACAAAACCCCACGCTTTCTTACCACATTGATCCATCCCATGAGGTGCGTGGCAGTTACCAAGCAGAATTCATAACACAGACGCGCAGATAAACTGCATGTATCTGAAGCAAACAGCCGAAAAGCAAATGCCGCTGCCCCAACAGCTGACAACCTACATGACCATCGGATACTGGACGAGACTGTAGGCCAACAGAAGGAGACCGAAAAAGACGTGGTTTGATAAAAAAAAAGGCAGTCGACACGGAGTTCGATAAATACATAAAATGCAGTAAAACAGCTCTCGGCCGCTCTTGCTGCTCGATTTGTAAAACCTTCGGAGGGAGTTCATAATCGTGAGCGGTATTTTGTCAACTCGTCTCGATTTGCTCTCGAAAATTGTTCATGACTAAGAAAGAAAAACGCCGCAGCCAAACGAACAAGCAGATGCATATGTAACAAGGGTACGGAACAATAATAAAATGATAAATATGTGGGGGACATATCTCGTCACACCGTCTTTTTGCCATGTCATTTGGCTCTCCAGCTCTACCTACTCCTTGTAGAAGCATCACTCTAATCTAACGTGGCTGTCCACTAGTGCTACCCTCCATCCTGTTGGGGGAACACAGCATACAAAGTATGCCAGATAACGCACCTCGAGAGCGACAGAATCGAGCATTGAATCGAAAGTGAATTGTGTTCCCCGAATTCCCAGAAGTGGCGCATATGCCCAGGAAAATAACGCAATGTGGGCACAGCTACAGTAAAGAATAAGACGAAATGTGAGAGGTGCTGAGAACGGAAGAGTTGTCAAGCGGATATGCGTCAAAATCACATGTTGACGTTCTGATACTCGAAT